TCTAAAATTTGAAAATAAGTCAACATAAACAGAGGTAAAAATCATGATTATCTCAATGGATAAAGAAAAATAATGATTTAAATTATTCATATTATACTATAATCAATTTTTATATTTATATTTATTCTTAATTATTAAGAACTCTTAATTGTGGTAACAAGGTTGCTTGGTGGTACAAACTGCTAATGTCATCAGCTGTTAACTGAAATGCTGGAAGTTTGAGTCTACCCAGAAGCACCTCATAAGAAAGGGCTGGCAATTTATTTCAGAGAAGTCAGCTATTGAAAACCCTGAGGAGCACAGTTCTATTCTGATGCACATGGGGTCACTGTGAGTCAGAATGGACTTGATGGTAACTACTTTTTCTTTTTCACCTTATTGTTACGAATGTTGTTGTTATGTGCTGTCGAGTTGGCCCCGACTCATAGCGACCCCTCCTTGGGTTTCCGAGGCAGTGTCACTATGGAAGTAGATTGCCCCATCTTCCTTCCGAGGAGTGGCTGGTGGGTTTGAATTGTTACGAATAATGAACACTAAAAAAGCATTTGCCAAAATTTAACATGATGAAAATTCTCAGTTAACTGGAAATAGAAAGCAATTTCCTCAATCTGAAAATAGGCAACTATGGAAAACCTACAGATAACATCAAGCTTCATGGTAAAATATTGAATATCTTTTCCTTCTATTCAACATTTACTGTGGAGTTTAGTAAGTGAAATAATAAGATAAGAAAATTAGAAAGGAAGAAATAAAATTGTCTTTACCCACAGATGATAATTCAGTGGGGAAAGGATTATCTTCAAATGCCATGGGAAAAGCTCAATAGACATATAGAAAAATATACTAAAGCAAAAACCTAAAACTATAAAGCTTCTAGAAGAAAATGAAGGGAATATCTTCACATCCCTGGGATAGGCAAAGATTTCTGAGGTAGGCAGGACACAAAAAGCACAAAGTGTAAAGGGAAAAATAGATTATATTGAATCAAAATTTAAAATTACTATTCATCAAAAAAACAACTTTAGAAAATGAATACTTACCATATTTTGGGAGAAAATATTGAAAAACACTGGTATCCAGAATAAATAAAGAATTCCCATAAATCAACAAGGAAAAGCAGAAACCAACAAAAATATTGACAAAATTCTCTAATAGACTTTCTTCCCTCAAAAATAAAAGCAGACGGGTGGGCAGATGGTGTTGTACCTGTAACCTACATGTTTGTTCTCTTGACCAATTTAATCCCTGAATAACTAGGTAAAGCAGATAGAAATAATGATACTGGAGTTATGAGCAATTAAGGAGAAGTTGTGTTCTGATTTCTCAGCAGAAACCACGCAGGCAAGAAGGCAATGGAATGTATAAAACACTGAAGGAAAAGAACGTCCAACCAAGAATTACATATCCTGCCAAATTGTCCTGCACATATGAGGGTGAAATCAAGACATTCTCAGACAAAAATAAATTAGGGGAATTTGTGAAAAACAGACTAACCCTACAAGAAATGCTAAATGTAGTTCTTCCAATTGAGAACCTACAACACAGAACAACAAATTAAAATCAGGACACTTGACATCACCACTTAGAAACCAAACCAGAAATAGATGCTCAAAATAAGCTCATAAAATAATGTACACAGAGAAAAAGAAGAAAGTCAAACTGAAGATGACACCAGCAGCAAAACAAAGAGGGAAGAAAAGTTCTTATTACAAAACTTCCAAATGGTAAGGAAGATAGGACTATGTCTTTATAGCACTGACTGTTCCAAATTTAAGGAAATAAGAATTTACTTTAGGGTAATCACAAAGAAAATTAAAAATCCCCCTAAGCAAACTCAGAAAGAAGAAAAACACATGGGCTTAATAAGCACAAGACCAACAAAAATGAAGAGAAAAAAAAACACTTGATAACAAAATAAGCTCAACATAGAAAAATGTTTGGAACAAGGAAATCACCAACAACACAATAAAAAACACAATAGAATGACAGCAGTAAATTCACACATATCACTAATTACACTCAATGTTAGTGGGCTAAGTGCACCAGTCAAGAGAAAGAGAGTAGCAGATTGCACTCATCAATATGCTGCCTACAAGAGACCCACCTTAGACACAAAGATAAAAACAAATTAAAAATTAAGGGGTGGAAAAAAATATACCAAGTCAACCAAAAGAAAGCAGGAGTGGCAATATTAATTTCTGACCAAATTGACTTTAAGACAAAAACCACCATATGGGACAAAAAGGACATTATATGATGCTAAAAGGATTAATTGACCAAGAAGACATCACCATAATTAATATCTATGCATCCAATGAAAGTGCTCCAAAATATGTAAAGCAAACATTAACTGAATTGAAAGGAAATATAAACAAATCTACAATAGTAGAAGGAGACTTTAACACACCACTTTCAGGGAGTGTTTTGGTTACCTAGTGCCACTCTGACAGGAATATACCACAAATGGGTTGGCCTTAACAAATGGGAGTTTATTCTTACAATTTGGAGACTTTAAGTCCGAGTTCAAAGTGCCAGGCTCTAGGGGCTGGGTGAAAGCCTCTCAAGCTTGGGCTTCAGCTCTGGCCCACTGAAGCTGGTGGCTGTTTTTTCACCCAGCTGCTAGCTGCTGAGGCTGACAAGCTCAAGGTTGACAAGTAATAAGGCACAGTCCCAATATTACCAAACCACATGGCAGGCCATCAATCCAAGTCCATTAAAAGTCCCAAGATCGGCAGAGTATGGCAGGCTGCTGCACAATGACAGGCTACATGCAGGGTTCAAGTTCAAGTGTGCCATAAGCTAGAGACCATTTCCAAAGCTGTTTCTTATATATGGGAAGCAGACCACATACCCAAAGCAGCTACTCAGCTCCTTCAATAGATTCCACCGTGGAGTTAATTACCAATGTCTCCATGGGGAATAACAACATTCAGCTGCTCATCCACTCAACCAGGCCCAGCCAAGTTGACACACAAACTTAACTACCATAAGGAGAGACAGAACAACTAGAAAAAAACTCAACAAAGATACAGAAGAACTCAACAGACAAACAATTAACACCATCCATCACATAAATAAAACAAAGGAGAAGAATCACACGATCATATCAATCGATGCAGAAAAGGTATTTGATAAAATCCAATACCCATTCTTGATAAAAAGCTCTCAGCAAAATAGGAGTAGAAGGGACATTCCTCAGCATAATAAATGGCATATATGCAACCAACAGCCAACCTTATTCTCAATGGAGAGAGATTGAAACCATTCCCCTTGCAAACAGTAACCAGACAAGGATGCCCTCTATCACCACTTCTGTTCAACATTGTATTAGAAGTCCAAGCCAGGTCATAATGCAAGAAAGGGAAATCAAAGGCATCCAGATTGGTAAGGAAGAAGTCAAACAATTCCTATTTGCTGATAATATGATCCTATATCTAGAAAACCCAAGAGACTCAGCAAAAAGACTACTGGGACTAATTGAGAAATATAGCATAGTGGCAGGATACAAGATCAACAGGCATTAGTTGGATTCCTCTACATCAGCAAAGAGATTGCTGAAAAGGAAATTAATACCATTTATAAAAGCTACCAAAAAATAAAATAATCGTGAATAAATCTCACTAGGGACACACAAGATCTGTACAAAGAAAACTACAAATCACTACTCCAAGAAACCATAAGCAAAACGAACCAAACTCACTGCCATTGAGTCACATCCAACTCATAATGACCCCACCTTGGGTTTCCAATGGTAGTATCACTATGGAAGTAGATTGCCCAATCTTCCTTCTGAGGAGTGTCTTGTGGGTTTGAACCATCAGCCTTGTGGTTAGCAGTCAAATGCCTTAGGCACTATGCCACCAGAGCTCCCAAGAAGAGACCTATGTAAATGGATCCATGCTCGTGGATATAAGATTGAACATTGTGAAAATGTCAATACTACCCAAAGCAATCTATACATTCAATGCAATCCCAGTCCAGATCCCATCAGCATTTGTTAAAGATATGGAGAAACCAATCACTAATTTTATATGGAAAGGAAAGAGACCTCGAATAAACAAAGCACTATTGAAGAAGGA